AACTGAAAATATTAGGTGTGTCCCGCTCGCTCATATGACCTTATGCAGCTGCGAGCGCCGTAAAACACTTTACAAAAACAAAAACAGATAGTTAAGGAAGCGGGCTGGCTTCTGAACCTCTTTGTCAGGGCTAACACAAGCTGAGAGGAATACAACATCACATCAGAATGACCGAGATACTCGATAAAAACTTCTCACTCGGCACTGACTATTAAAACCCACACGGTTGCAAAAAAGAACACTGAAAAAGAACACAAAACAAACAAACAAACAAATAAGAAACGCTCAAAGAATCAAAAACAGGTAAATTGAAAGCAAACAAACAACTTTAGTTTTAGTTAGTGTTTTAAGGCACTTGCAACACAATAAGGTCATATAAGTGCCGAAGATTAGAGGGGTTACAAGAGAGTAACAAACACAAAAAAGGAGGGGAGATAAGGACGACAAATGTTCGATAGGAAAGAAAAAGCAAACCACACCAGATCACCCGCCAACCACCTACAAACTAATAACATGCAAATTCAGAGCTAACGAGTGCAACAATCTGATCTGCAACACACCAGCAGAGTACTAAGATATAGCATATTCTGACTTCGGGATATCGCACAGTGTGAAAGGAGAACACAATAAGCAGGTTCGTCTAACCCGCAGCATTCCAGGTCACTGTCAACATATTATTGTGGGACAAGACAGGTGGTCGTAGTCAGCAAAGGTGAAGGTATTACCGAAGCGTTAGTGACAACAAGCTATTCACACTGCCAAGTAGGTCTGTAAAAAACAAGGCGGTATGGGGTCATCGGCCTTTATTCTTCTTCCCCTTGGAGCTAGGAATGAGAAATCCATTCACATAAAACGACATAGAACAAGACAATGGAGGTGAAAGGAAGTTTTCAGTGGAAACAATAATTTTATTCAAATCGACTTAAAACTAAACCCTATTCACTGCCGGTGTGTGCCTTTTCGGGCACACGGGTTTCCCGTTTCCCGTGTGGCGCCACAACAAAATACTCAGGGATGTGACAACTTAACACATCATTCAAGAAAACGATTTTTACACGCGAGCGCTTGTGTTCGCGCACGTATGCGCGTTTGTGTATGTGTGTGTGTGTATGTGTGTGTATGTATCTGTGTGTGCGC